TCAGAACATAACCCCATTGTAAGAAGAGGACCACCAAGTAGTGTGAGCTGAATAATTCAGCCGCTCCGCGGGATTCATTATTCACACTAATCGAGACCCGGCTGTATTACCTTGTGGACCCCAGCATATATCATGTTGACCATTGGTGTTTTATATAATGTTTATGTTACGTAGTTCCATGGGTATTCTTATGTTTTTGTATTTATCGTTCTGTAGTGCCAAAGAGCACTGAGTGATCCCACAGGTGAAAGAGCTCTTCGAATCCTTCAACTTCCTTCCTGTGGGCTGCTAACAGCAAAAGCCAGGTTGATCAAGCAGGCAGCAATGAAGTCTCCGAGTGGAACTCAAGAAACACATCACAGGTACCTCAAAACTGTAGATTTTTCATAAATCTTCAAAATTTTTTTACCTATGAACTCTGGGCTGCAAATATGCAGTGCTCTCAAAAACACAGTTAACTCTTAACATGTATAATTCCCCTCACACTGTGCCACAATTTTAAAAATCATTATTCTTCTCATCATGGGACTTTAGAAGTGCTGGTACAGGGGTGCCCAGCAAGTACAGGATCTTTTTTGGTGCTCCACATTTTCACTGGCTTCAAATTGAGCCGTTGCTAGGTTAGGTTCCCCCCGCTGGTGACTATCACCAGCGGGGGGAACAGCGGCTCATTTGAAAGCCAATGAAAATGTGGAAACACCAATAAACAGGCGCTGTATGTATATGCAGGGTCCTCATATTTGATTCTTACCTGAGGCATCGACTAGCAAAGGTATTAAATTTTAAATGTTTTAATTTATTGTTAGGGTTAGCAAGAATAATATAGTTTCCTTTGAAGTTGAGTTAAAGGAATGTGTATATTTAACTTCAGGGGCAGTATATTATTATTTTATTATTATAATTATGGGGAAGCGCTAAATCCGTAGGATTATACAGCGCCTGTGGGGGGGGGGATGGAAGGTATTCAGGCTTAATTCAGGGAACTGGAGCACAGATCCAATTTCTTAGATCAAGAGCCCCTCACCAACATCAAGGAACCCTCCTTGAGGGGCCTCAGGGGCAGCAATAAAAGCTTAATATCAATCACTGAAATAATCTGGCTCTCGGAAACAGATGCAAATGGCCATAAACCCTCATGATTTTGCTCATATTTTTCTGGGCAAAGATCTGAACTTTTGACAAATCACTTCAAAATGTATCAAATTTGGTTAAAGTTCTCTTTTGATAAACAAAGTACACTTGTTCCTATTGTATTATAATGAAAAAGAAGCACTTAACCTACAAGGGGTCATGCAGTCAGTTGTTCCTACAAATTCATGGACTTACGGTTCAGATCATCCACCGTTCTTACTGACAGGCAACCAGTGGATAGATTCAGTCCATTTTCCAACAACCAGCTTCCTCTCGTCCAAATCTCAGGGTGGAAGAATATTCCGTTTCATCAGTTGAACTGTACACAAAATAAGGTTTTGGAGTATGACTTAAGACATTACGTAAGACTGTACTGAATACCTACCCCTGTACTGGGATTAACCCCGTCATGTCTCAAAAAATCCATAGTTCCTCTAGTGGCTAAGGGGGTGGCTGTATGTTTGAAAGGTGCTTGATCCAGGACGGGTTTTCCAATCCACGCCCGAGGTTGCTATGGTTTTAGCGCTTCTCTCTAAATACGATTACCATAACAGTACTGTCCGTATACTTATACATGTACTGTATAAGTACATGTTCAAAATTTTTTGACTTATCTAAATGCAGTTTTTCATTGTTATGTCCTTCAACTATTGGATGGTTCATTGATGGAAAAAGTTTTTACTTCACAAAATGAAGCTTTCTTCAAATTTAGTTATATTTACAGGAAGGGTTACTTACTGCCTGCCCGATGCATTATGACTCCATGGCGCTTTATGCGCATCGCCTCATCGAAATAAGAATTGATTAACCACTCACTCATGGAACATGAGTGTATTATTTTCAGTACATGTATTTGCAGTTCTTTTTCACCCCCCCGCCCATATCAGCGATCGTATGTCCCTCCCGGCTGAGTCACTGATTAACCTTCAAACTACCTTCTGATCTTCACCAATTCAGTGTGGCGAAACTTTCCTCAATAAAGATACCCAAGTGGTGAACATGCGTCTAATTTATCAATTAAGCTGAACAATGTTGCTGAAGGGAAACAGCAGCAGAAAGTGTTGAGACGCACCTCAGATTATAACTAGAATATTCCACAGAGCAGAGAGCATCCAACATGTCTGCTGTACAACCCTTGTGGGTTTAACACTCAGCTATGTTAATAATCCCAGCCTGTCTCTCACCTATATTATGCCTAAGAACAGGAACAAGCTAACATTCATCTAAATCCTTGAATCAACATTCTCAGGCAGCAGAGTAGACCTGCTGGGCCTTCCACTCTTGGGTCCACCAGCCACTTCAAGGTCACCCAACACACTAACTCCCTCATTACATGTATACACATGAAAACGTCTTCCATATTCTAGATTCACTTGAGAGAGTTTACGATCTATGAATGAAACGTTATACCTTTAATAATGAGAAAGACCCTAGTGGGTTCAGTGTTTATTTATTATTGTAATAATAATAATAGACTCTCATTCTGTCATTCTTTTTTTTTTCTCTCTCTCCTTTCTCTTTTTTTTCTCTGTCAGTATTTTTATCACTACCTGATGGTTCTTGCCGTACTGTCACATTTAGACCTGTTTGAAAAAATCACTAAACAATATCTTTACTTTTTTATTATGAAAACTTACATTTTAAGGATCTGGCCTATTGAAGAAATCAATGTAAAAAAATTATAAGTACATTATATTTTTCAGAACATAGTCAAATGGTGGAAAATCAAATTGAGTAGCAAGAATCCATTAATAAGAAACAAAACTGAAGTTTATGGCATTTTAGCCAGACGTTACACCCACCAGGGACTACAAATTCTCAGAGATGGGTAAAACGAGTATGTCTGAGAGAAGCAAGGTGAAGCGTAGAGATGGGCAGGTGACATCACCGGCAGTAACGCTACTCAACGCAGTGGGAACACAAAAGCTTAAAATTAGGTGATGCACTATACCTTTATGTATGAGGAACAAAAAAGAGCAAATGGAGTTAATAATACAAAATAACCCACACATAGGAGTAGTAACTCTCTATTTTGGGTCATGACCCTTGGGAATTAAGATCTGCTCTATGTATGGTGTTGTGAATTGTGTTAGTTTAATGAAGAGAAATGTACATACATCTGAAAAATTGGCCAGGTTTTGAGAATAAAAAAGATTTGTATGAAGATTGAATATGTCGTGATGAATCAGAGTGTGAAAAGGGATTATGAAATTCAGAATTTTAGAAACATTTTGCACGTGGTCGTTAGGTCTGAGAAGATGGGTAACTGAATGGTTGAGGAGATAAAGAGTGGCTGGTTGGACCAGGTCTTGTGGACGAACTTTGTCTTGAAGGCAAATGAGGGAAGTAGAATCCTTTTTACCACAATTGTCTATCACTATACTGTTTGCAATACAGGAATGTGAAGACATGTTCCGAGGAGAAGGCTGGCTTGTTGATAATGTCATGTCTGAGGGCATGGGGTGTTATAATGGGATTCGTTGTTGAAGGTTAGAAGGTGTCGGGTTATCTTGGCCGGGGCCTGTGGTACTGATCACTTCGATGTTTCGACATGTAAATTGGCAGCAAAGATTATCAAGATGTATCACGGATTAGTGGAAGGAATTTCGTGGTTGGCCCGGTCTGTATATGGCAAGCTGTTAGGTAAAACGACAAAGTGATCTATGTGCAGAAGGTCTGGACATTCCCACTTGGGTGTCTTTTGATCAGAGTAATCGAGCAAATGTTATTTAATACTTGACGTCGTAGTTGGACTTCAGTTAAAGTAACATTTATAGGGTTCTGTTAAAGGCAGAACGTGATTGAGTTGGAGATTGAAGTTTACAGTGCTCCTCATTTAGAGGGTGCATTATAATGTGACAGTTTAAAATACTGTTAGTTGTAAACACCCTTCTGGAAGGAATGAGCAGTGAACTGAATGTAAAGTTTTTCTTTTCGGGCACCCTGCCTTGGTGGAACGGCCAATTGATATAAAAAAAAACAAAGTTAAGCTTTTCTTTTAAATTTAGTCTCATTACGTGAGAAGGGGGTTATTAGTCCTTGCTCCTGCATTTTAGTCGCCTCTTCGACAGCATGGTCACGGAAAATGAAACTTCACATCACTTCATGGACAAATGTGTTTATTCGAGTGCAGTCCCCCCCCCCAATACAGCGGTGCATATGTCCCTCCCGGCTGAGGCACTGATTACCTCAAACTCCTTCTGATCTTCACCATTCTGTGTGGCGAAACGTTTCCTCAATAAAGATACCCAAGTGGTGAACATGCGTCTAATTTATCAATTAAGCTGAACAATGTTGCTGAAGGGAAACACAGCAGCAGAAAGTGTTGAGACGCAGCTCAGATTATAACTAGAATATTCCACAGAGCAGAGAGCATCCAACATGTCTGCTGTACAACCCTTGTGGGTTTAACACTCAGCTATGTTAATAATCCCAGCCTGTCTCTTATCTATATTATGCCTAAGAACAGGAACAAGCTAACATTCATCTAAATCCTTGAATCAACATTCTCAGGTAGCAGAGTAGACCTGCTGGGCCTTCCACTCTTGGGTCCACCAGCCACTTCAAGGTCACCCAACACACTAACTCCCTCATTACACGTATACACATGAAAACGTCTTCCATATTCTAGATTCACTTGAGAGAGTTTACGATCTATGAATGAAACGTTATACCTTTAATAATGAGAAAGACCCTAGTGGGTTCAGTGTTTATTTATTATTGTAATAATAATAATACTCTCATTCTGTCATTCTTTTTTTTTTTATCTCTCTCTCCTTTCTCTTTTTTTCTGTCAGTATTTTTATCACTACCTGATGGTTCTTGCCGTACTGTCACATTTAGACCTGTTTGAAAAAATCACTAAACAATATCTTTACTTTTTTTATTATGAAAACTTACATTTTAAGGATCTGGCCTATTGAAGAAATCAATGTAAAAAAATTATAAGTACATTATATTTTTCAGAACATAGTCAAACGGTGGAAAATCAAATTGAGTAGCAAGAATCCATTAATAAGAAACAAAACTGAAGTTTATGGCATTTTAGCCAGACGTTACACCCACCAGGGACTACAAATTCTCAGAGATGGGTAAAACGAGTATGTCTGAGAGAAGCAAGGTGAAGCGTAGAGATGGGCAGGTGACATCACCGGCAGTAATGCTACTCAACGCAGTGGGAACACGAAAGCTTAAAATTAGGTGACGCAGTATACCTTTATGTATGAAGATCAAAAAAAATCACAATACTGTGACTGGAATAATACACAAATAACCCACACATAGGAGAGAGAAACTTACAATAATGTTTGGGTCAGACCCAAACATCATCATAAGCTTCTCTCTCGTATGTATGGGTTATTTGTGTACTCTCCCTGTAGTTTCATGTTAGAGAAATGTCATACATCTTGAAAATAATTTTGGCCAGCGTTCTTGAACTAAGAAATGAACCTGATTTCTGCATGATGGTGGTGATGGTCGTGATAATCAGTGTGTGTGAAAAGGGCACTTATGTAGAATTCAAGACATTTTTTACAGAAAACATTTTGCCACGAGTGGCTTCATTAGGTCTGGAGAAGTCACTTGTGGTATACCTGGAGAGGGTTTCAGGAGTTAATGCACCCGTGGCCTGGTCTGTGACCAGGCTTTGTGGGCGTTTCCTCTAATAAATGTCCTGAGGTGTACATAAATGCCTTTTTCCACATATTGTCTATCACTATACCATTTTTCAAGCACAGGAGACTTGAAGCATGGTTCGTTACATCTGCTTTTTTGATAAAATTGCACTGGAGAAGTTTATAAGGTGGTTCTCTTATGTATGAGGGTGAATAATACAGGTGTCTGTGTTATCTCTGGCAGGCGCCTCTGTGTGTTCTGATCACCTTCAAGTCCCTATGTACAACTTGGCACAGCCTCTATGGGTTATATAGATACAGGCACTTTATTTTAGATACCATTTTCTTTTTTGACCAAGTCTTGTATAATGGCAACCCTTAGTTAGGTAAAACGACACAAGTGCAACTAATGTGACACAATAAAATGTCACATTAGTTGCACTTGTGTCCTTTTACGTAACATATTATCGGTAATTCTGCCAATATTAATACAACTCTGAAGTTAACTTCAGTTAAAGATCTGGAGAGGTTACTGCTTCTGTTCACAGGCAGCAATGTGGATGTACTGAGGTTGGAATATTATCTGATATTGTGTAGTAGCTTCTCTATTTATTTCCTATGGTCCATAATAAAGTGCAGTGAACAGAATATGTAGTTCAAGGAAGGTTTTATTAATGTAGTCATAGTCTCCTAGAGGAATGCACCATTAACCCTTAAACTGTCCAAACATAGATCTACATTCAGAGTGCTATGCACGTGAACGTAGATCTACGTTTGGACAGTTGAAGGGTTAAGAAAACATTTAATTTTTGCTCTCCATAACACTGTGAGAAGGAGTAGAGATATTACATAATACCAGACACGATTCCAAATCCAGTAGTAGATACAGTGAAACCTCAAATATCGAACTTTCTTCAGTCCAGAAGGCTGTTCGAGTGCCTTTACTGAATGAATTCATTCCCATCAAGAATAATGTAAATTAGATTAGTCCATTTCAGACCCTCAAAAATACACTTATAAAAGCACTTACAAAAATACACTTACATAATTGGTTGTGTTGGAAGCAGTTCGATTTTTGAGGTTCCACTGTATATAGTTCTACCTGTCAACCAGCAATAACCTCTCCAACTCCTTAGCCAAGAGCACTGTTAGGACTGCCATTATAGCTTCCAACACGGTAAAGACTTAACAAAAAGAACATAGCCCCCAAAACACCACTGCCTGCATCTATATAAACTTATGGAGGTTGTGACAAGTTTTACGAAGGTAAAACATCAAGGGTGTTGAATACGAGGCTCAGCAAACGTGGAAACACCTGCCACAGGGATGACATGACTGTGCTGTTCAAAGCAAAATGGAAAATGATTAAAACTTTTCTGGCACTAAATTTATTATCAAAGAAGTATCCCTGGCACTAAATTATTATCAAAGAAGTATCCCTGGCACTAATTTATTATCAAAGAAGTATCCCTGGCACTAAATTTATTACCAATGAAGTAGATGGAACCAATCCTGCTTGGAATCTGCTCAGACTGCCATAACTAGTACAATCACACACAAATCCCATTCACTGCTATTAAATAAACCTATATGAAGAACAACTGACGTCACCCTACTGGCTCACCTAATTTTAAATGTTTACATTTTCACTTGAGTGAATAATATTGCTAGAGGTTATGTCCCACTGGCCATCTCTACCTCACCTTAATTCTCTCCAACATAAACATCCTCTTTAACCTGCCTCTATGGCAACTGATAATCTCTCCTGCACAAAACTTCTCATTAAAATACTACCATAAACTGAGCACTGTCTGCTTAACATTATCAGTATATTTTACCAATGATGCAGTATATAGATAAAGGATTTATTTCAGAATTTTGAGATCTTCAGCAGACAAGTGACCTGTATTAGACTAAGATTCATAGGCAAGTGATGTAGAGCAGCGAGAGTTTACCTTTCCTACACATAGCCAGGTATACCTCCTGCAGAGCTCCCCCAGTTCCTCTTGTAGGCAAATTTTGCATGTCCTCTCACAAGGATATTGAAAACTAGATGCCGGTACAGGAAGGCCCAGTATATACAGCACATTGCTGGTGTTTCAAATTTTTGTTCGCTTTCAACTGAGCCATTGTTCCACCTGCTGATAGTCACAGGCAGGTGGAACATAATTAACAATGGTTCAGTTTGAAGCCCAGCTGTATATGCTGGGTCCTCCTGTATTTCATTTCGCAAAAATTTACATCTCAGCACAAAATTTACCAACAGTAAGAACTGGAGAAAGGAAACTGTACCAGAGTATACTTAGCTCTTAGCAGCTGAGGTAAACTCTATGGTACTCCACTTCAAATCTCCTACTTGCTGATCAACCTTTCCCTACTACAAGTATCCCATCTCTTAACAGTCTCAAAATATACAAATCCTTTTAAATCTGTTTAATTTTCCCACCCATGTGGGATTTTCTATTTAGTTTTCAATGTTTATGACACAACGACAGCATGCTAGAAAAAAAAAAAAAAATAGAGTCAAACACTGGCGTCACGGATCTCTGTGTAAAATACAAAAATACAATAATAATACAAAAAATACAATAAGAAAATCATACACTGGTATCATGGATCTATATACAACACCAGTTCCAATGACAATACAAAAAAAATTATACATTCCAGAAATACATTTGGTATCCACACATAGAAAAAGTGTCTCTCAGTAAGCAAGCTTCTTCATCAAGAGGTAGATGTGTTTATCCACTTCAAAGCCATGCAAGTTGTTGGCGTCGCCCTGAAGGCGCATCAACAGCCCTCCGTATGACACGTATGCTGACCTGCAAAACATAGGCAGTAGTTAGTGAATACTGATCAAATATTTAGATCTAAAAATGTTATTAGTTATGAATTAGCAATGTGTGGAGCACAGTAAGACCCATTCAGGTTTAGTGTCTTCCATCTGAATACACAAGTTAAATATTGATGATATAAGCAACAAATTTGGGCACAGTAGGGCCCCCATATCTGCAGGTCCGGTATCCACGGTATCAGTTGTCCATGGTCTCGGTTATCTGCAGTTCACCATGGCCTGAAAATAACACTTAATTTTGCTTAACACATATTCACATTTGACTTATAATGGGTTCATCAGAATGTAACCCCATTGTAAGATGAGGAGCACTGATATATATACTTGATATGCTGTTGGAGTGTGGGCAAGGTAGTTCTCCAGGTGGTGGAGGACCCTGGGCTGCAGCACCTGGAGGCCCTCCAGTTGGTGGAGGACCCTGGGCTCTAGCACCTGGAGGCCCTCCAGTTGGTGGAGGACCCTGGGCTGCAGCACCTGGAGGCCCTCCAGTTGGTGGAGGACCCTGGGCTGCAGCACCTGGAGGGCCTCCAGTTGGTGGAAGACCCTGGGCTCCAGCACCTGGAGGCCCTCCAGTTGGTGGAGGACCCTGGGCTCTAGCACCTGGAGGCCCTCCAGTTGGTGGGACCCTGGGCCTCTGAGCACCTGGAGGCCCTCCAGTTGGTGGAGGACCCTGGCTCTAGCACCTGGAGGCCCACCAGTTGGTGGAGGACCTGGGCTCTAGCACCTGAAGGCCCTCCAGTTGGTGGAGGACCATGGGCCTAGCCCGGAGGCCCTCCAGCTCTGGAGGACCCTGAGCTCAGCACCTGGAGGCCCTACCTTGATGGAAGACCTGGGCTTCCAGCACCTGTGAGGTCCTCATTGGTGGAAAAGACCCTGGGTCCAGCACCTGAGGCCTCCAGTTGTTGTGAAGACCTGAGGCTCCAGCACTGGTAGGCCCTCCGTTGGATGGAAGTACCCTTGGGTCCGCACTGGTAGGGCTCAATGGTGGAAGGACTCCTGGGCTCTAGCACTGGATGAACTCAGTTAATGGAGGACCCATGGGCTCTAGCACTGAGCCTCCTACCTTGGGGAGACCTGGGCTTAGACACTGGAGGCCTCCAGTTGGTGGAGGACCTGGGCTCTAGCACCTGGAGGCCCTCCAAGTGTGGAGTAACCTGGCTCATAGCCCTGGAGGACTCCAGTGGGGAGGACCCTGGCTCTAGCACCTGGAGGCCCATCCAATGGTGGAAGACCTAGGAATTCAACACTGAGGGCACTCAAGTTGGTGAAGTAACTGTGGATGCAGCACGGAGGCCTTCCATTGGTGGGGAGCTGGCTGCAGCACCTAGAACTTTGCTTTGAGTCAGCTTGGTCAGACCTGTAGCAACTTTGGTGGTAGTATACAATAGTCGCCCTGTATCCGCGAGGGATACGTTCCAAGACCTACCATAGATACCTGAAACCGTGGAGAGTAATGATCCCTATATGTCATTTTTTGTTTACATACCTATTACGTGTAACGTTCCATTGATAAATTATGCACAATAAGTCTAAAATTATAATTTTTTCACTGGTGGGAAGCAGTTCACGGCTTCTCTTAGTCTCTGAGGAACTGTTGTCATCACTACTTTTGTGCTTTGCTGTCATTATTAAATGAATAAGGAAACAAATAACTACTGTAACTGGTATTGAAAAGTAAATAAATGAATATAAGTTATGGACTAACCGCCTTCATACCGGGTAATTATCTTAAGGAACGACTAAGTTAAGAAGCATCTGTACTTTGCAATGATACATAAACACAATAGTGAGCTATTAAACTAATGAATCATAGTGTATGAACCAGTGGGGATGGTGACACAGAACTGCAAAAAAGCCATCAATGACTGAATGTTAATAGTAAAATTTATAATATATTATTAGAGACGAGAGAAGCAATAAAGTGTGGATCGCAGACGAAGAGATGTGATGTTCGCATCGGTGGTGGCAGATGGTTGAGGGGACGGGTTGATGGGTGGTGGCGGGGGAGAGGGCTGTGTGGAGGGAGCAGTGCAGATAGTGGTTGTGATCCACACACACAACCAGCTAACCACACTGCCACATCCACACGCCAACACTTGCATACACACTTATTACCCACACTAAGCCGCTTCGTAATATTTTCCGTACTGTAAGTTATTTAGGTACAGGTCCACATAAGTATGATTATCATACATAGTTTAATGTATAAAAATACCACAGTGAAAATAGGAAACAAAACTTGAGCACTTTCATGTGCTCACACACACGTCTTCTGAAGATGTGTGTGTGTAACCCCAGGAAAGTGCTCAGGTTATATTTCCTCTTTTCACTGTGGTATTTTTACGTATTTGCAATCACACATTTTTTTGTGATTTCTTCCATAGTTTATCATATACAATACTACAACTGACTGGGGATAGAACCCCATGACATTTATGCAGCCTCTCAGGACACTAGATAAATTTCTTGAGGCCTTTATCCACTAGGCCACCATGCTACCTTGGTAGCCTAGTGGATATAAAGGCATCATCGAGACATTTACCTAGTGTCCGGGAGGCTCATAAAAGGCTCATAAGCTCCCTGTACTTCACTGAAATAACCAAGGGCAAACCGAAAGGAAGAACGGCACTGACTCCAGTAGGAAGGTTAAACGATTACTGCTGTGTCAGTCCAGAAAAATATATCTAAAAGCAAAATCAAGTAAATTTCTCTATGAATTATAAATAGAATTCTGCCTAGTACACCCTGCTATGCTTTGTAGTCGGAGACAGCGGCAGCCCTACATTTTTGGGGCCCTGAAGCTTGAACTGTTATAGGGGCCCCTTTGCAACCCCTTCTCATACAGTGGACTCAAAGTTTTTAAGCACTGTGAGGCCTGTCACAGACCGAACCACAGGGGCATTGACCCCCGAAACCCTCTCCAGGAATACTTCAGGTATAGTCACTTCTGGGGCTCCTTCAGGATTGGGGCCCTGAAGTTTAAGCTTAATTAGTTTCATACTAAATCTGTTCCCCTGGTTGGGGATTTATTTAAAAAAAAAAGATTTCTCTTACAACCTCAGTTTGAGAGTGTTGGATGTCACACAATCTCTGTTCTGTACCAAGTGAAGTTCTGATACACAGAACTGGGACACACAGAGAGGCCTATGCTCAAGAAGACATCTGCATGACCATTACAGTAAGTCCGGCATCTACCATTCAGGAAGCTAACATCCAAAGGAGTCAGCAAGAACTCTGGAAGAACATCCATCTTTTTCTTTTTCTATGCAAATCAATTCGACCCACACCAGGATGCGACCCACACCAGTTGACTAACACCCAGGTACCTACTTAAAACTCATTCTTGAGGGAGATATGAAGAGTGCATGACTAGGCTGCCTTACAACCTCACCTAGATAGCAACAGCCTCCAGGGCAGAGCCAGATTAAGATTTTGTAGGTCCCTGGGCTACAGGTATGTGAGGCCCATGGGCTATAGGTACTGTGAGGCCCATGGGCTACAGGTACTGTGAGGCCCATGGGCTCTAGGTACTGTGAGGCCCATGGGCTCTAGGTACTGTGAGGCCCATGGGCTATAGGTACTGTGAGGCCCATGGGCTATAGGTACTGTGAGGCCCATGGGCTACAGGTACTGTGAGGCCCATGGGCTATAGGTACTGTGAGGCCCATGGGCTACAGGTACTGTGAGGCCTCTGGGCTACAGGTACTGTGAGGCCTCTGGGCTACAGATACTGTGAGGCCCATGGACTACAGGTATCATGAGGCCTCTGGGCTACAGGTACTGTGAGGCCTCTGGGCTACAGGTACTGTGAGGCCTCTGGGCTACAGGTACTGTGAGCCCTCTGGGCTACAGGTATTGTGAGGCCCATGGACTACAGGTACTGTGAGGCCCCATGGGCTACAGGTACTGTGAGGTCTCTGGGCTACAGGTACTGTGAGGCCTCTGGGCTACAGGTACTGTGAGGACCCTGGGCTACAGGTACTGTGAGGACCCTGGGCTACTGGTACTGTGAGGCCCCTGGGCTACAGGTACTGTGAGGACCCTGGGCTACTGGTACTGTGAGGACCCTGGGCTACAGGTACTGTGAGGACCCTGGGCTACTGGTACTGTGAGGACCCTGGGCTACTGGTACTGTGAGGACCCTGGGCTACAGGTACTGTGAGGACCCTGGGCTACTGGTACTGTGAGGCCCCTGGGCTACAGGTACTATGAGGCCCCTGGGCTACAGGTACTGTGAGGAACCTGGGCTATAGGTACTGTGAGGCCCCTGGGCTACAGGTACTGTGAGGACCCTGGGCTACTGGTACTGTGAGGCCCCTATACTACAGGTACTCTGAGGACCCTTGGCTACAGGTACTGTGAAGACCCTGGGCTACAGGTACTGTGAGACCCCTGGGCTACAGGTACTGTGAGGACCCTGGGCTACTGGTACTGTGAGGACCCTGGGCTACTGGTACTGTGAGGCCCCTGGGCTACAGGTACTGTGAGGAACCTGGGCTATAGGTACTGTGAGGCCCCTGGGCTACAGGTACTGTGAGGACCCTGGGCTACTGGTACTGTGAGGCCCCTATACTACAGGTACTCTGAGGACCCTTGGCTACAGGTACTGTGAAGACCCTGGGCTACAGGTACTGTGAGACCCCTGGGCTACAGGTACTGTGAGCACCCTGCACTACAGGTACTGTGAGGACCCTGGACTGCAGCACCCGGAGGCCCTCCAGCTAGTAGAGGCCCTGACTGCAGCACCTGGAGGCCCCCAACTGGCAGAGGCCCCTGGACTGCAGCACCTGAGGCCCTCCAGCTAGTAGAGGCCCTGACTGCAGCACCTGAGGCCCTCCAGCTAGTAGAGGCCCTGACTGCAGCACCTGGAGGCCTCCAGCTGACAAAGGCCCCTGGACTGCAGCACCTAAACCCCATGTCTTAATCTGGCAGTGCTCAAGGATATAGCAGAGAGGAACCTGAATGTGA